GTAAATCCGCTTAATTCAATTAGTGTTTTGTCTCTGGCTAATTTATGACGGCATTCGATATTCGATTCGATTCGATTCGATTCGATTCGGCTCGGCTCGGTTCGATTTGGAAGTTTTCGCCAATTACAATTGAGTATTAATTGATTTTGAGCCTCAAGTACAGTGATCACTCGCCCGGGCTGATAAATGCATATTTGGGCCTCAAATTAAACCATTACAAATTATCTTCACAGCCAGACAACCAGACAACCAGACACCAGATACTGGTACTTATATACTTATGTATGTACGCAAACGAGTGTACGCGTACGAGTGTGCGTGGCTCGTGCGTGTACGAGTGGGTATTATATCCGTATGGGTGGCTGGTTAAATGCCAAATGAAATGGCATCATAATAAATTGTAATGCATAAATTCGCCAAAGGAATTATGATGACGGATAAGTGGGTAGTGGGCAGTGGGCTATCCACTGAGGGGGGTAGTGGCACGGGGTTATAGGTTACACTGGTGCGGTGCTGGGTGCTGGGTGCTCGGTGCTCCCTGGCATTTCTGCCCTCTCGGTTGGACGCATTTTAATGCCATTTCAATTGATATTTCAATTAATTTTCAATTAAAAATGGTTTTAATAACATATAACCGAGTCGGTCAGGCAGCACGAGAGAATGTTTGGGGCAATCTGTAGAGATTTGTCAGGTTTCGAGGGTGGGGCGTACTTAGTTATGGCTTGGGGGCGGATTACAGTCAATGTGCACGGGGAGAAAATCCCTGCACTTACAGCTGGAAGTAGTCAAGGAAAACAGGTCTAGTAATATATATAAAATATATATAAAAATAATAAATAAATAACAAAATATTGTAATATATATTTTCCATCTAAGGACTCACATTTTTCTCTCTCTGTACAATGAGCTGAATATTCCGAGTATATTTTAATATCGTATCGCATTTTATGAATTTTTACTCGCATTTTATTTTTAATTTTTTTTGTCATGTTTATGCGTGTCCCAGCAGAAGCAGCGGCAGTGGCAGCGGCGGCGGCAGCGGCGGCGGCGGCGGCAGGAGTAAAAGCAACTGCCGTCCCCGTTCCTGTCCCCATCCCCGTCGCAGTAGCAGTAGCAGTAATAATAATTTTGTGGTCTGTGTTCGCTTTCATTGCCGCGGTTTTGGGTCTATAATGCGAAATTGAAATTGTCGGGTCTTGTCGGTAATACTGTGTGCGGCAATAATGAAAGGTGTCAAACGTTGATGGTGCAGCTATAAAGAATTATGGGAAATTGAACAATATGGAAAATCTGCGGGTGGGATTTAATTGAGCGTGCAAAAAAAAAGAAACATTAAAGAAAGTCCTGTTCGGGGGAATAGTTTTACTTCTTTAGTTCCTTTGAAGGAAAATCCTCAAAAGACGAAGAAAGTGCCGACCTGGCTACACCCTGGACTTCTATGGTTGATTGGAGATCAGAGAGATTGAAATTAAGAGGGGAAGAACGAAAGGACAAGTGAGAAAATCAGAGAGAGGAGAGTATCAAATAGACAGAGACAGAGAGAGAGAGCCAAATATATGGAGAAAAAAGGGAGAAAAAAGTGCGAGAGAAAAAATATAACAGAGAGTGAGTTAAGACAGAGACAAAGAACGAGCGAGAGAAGAAAATGGGAATTAAGAAATTAAAGAGAGAAAATGAGGAAAAAAGGAAAGAGAGAGAGATAAAGTAGAGGGAAAAGAAGGGAAGAAAGGGATCACTAATACACCTACCCTAGCACCACCCACAAACTATAGAATTTTCCCGAAAATCAGCCCTCCTTAGGTGCAACCCATGAGAAGCGCAGAGAAAGGCGCTGTTCATATTCTAACAGAAATTCGAATCATTTTCTTCGGCTTCCACCATATTAATGGAGCCTTTGCTGCATTTGGCTTGTGTCAAGTAATAAAGACTCTTTTCCAAGGATATACATACAAAATGTATGATTATATTAAACACCTCCAGAATTTCCACCTTTCCGCGCTTATCTCATGGATTTCCACTTCATTTTCTGTTACCCCAGAGAGTCCATATCAGTTTACATTTGGATCATTTGTCCAGAGGCCCATGCATCATAATCCAAACTTTTTCTCGCCCATCAATTACCCACGTGTGTGTGTGTGTGTGGTGTGTGTGTGTGTGTTTGGGCAATGCCCAAGTGAGCAATAACTAATAACTAACGCCAGGAAAAACCAAATGAAAATATTCGAATAGCAGCAACAAAAACGGAATGGAAATCCAACTAGCGATTAATTAATATACTTTAGTTTTTCTGCAGTTAGTTGCTGGTTTACTAATTAATTTTTGCGGTTTTATTTATAGTTTATTTTGTCGCCGCGCCAGTGCTCGTATTGTTGTTCACTTTGCACTTTGCTGTTGATTTTACTTGTCGAATGTAGTTTTTGTTTATACTCTTTCAGGTTGTCCTATGATTCTGAGCAGATGTTTGGAATGAACGGCAGGGACGAACATATGTCTGATATGTCAGGGAGTAAACTTAGTACTATACAGCAGGTCCTTCTCTCCAATGCCCATACTTTTTAGGGCCATCTGTGGAGCTGAGCACCCGATGACTCTCTGCTTTTGAAACAATCGATCTGCAAGGGTATCTCCGATGCTGCCGACCCACAAATGTTTAGCCTTCGTTTCTTGTTGATTTTTCAATTTGTTTGGAGTTGACAAAGTGCAATAGTGCCAGCCCTTTTTGCTGCTTATTGTTTGCTTTCATTTGACCAACAACAAAATGGAAATCAAGCAAGTTGTTGCTGTGCTGCCTTTGTGGTGGCAGCAACAACAATGGCAAATTAAAACAAATATTAAAATGTCCTGAAAATTTGCCATTCCACTGGGAAGGAGGCCGAGTGTGCGAGTGTAAAAATAAATATTTTATTGGCCTAATTGTCGTTGGATTATTGCATAAATAAACATTAAAAACATTAAAAACTCTTTGACATAGTTCAAATAGTTTTCATAGGGTGAAAACTATCTAAAAACATAAGCTTCTGTTGGAAAAAGCTCAATAAATGTGGTCTTAAATCAAAAATAGCATTAAGTTCTAGAAACTAAACGTTAAATACGCTTTCATTTCAACCCTTTCCTCTAGTTATTTCCCACAAAAAGCATTAAAAACCTTTCACCCATTGACCCATGACTCGTGCATACTTATGCTTCGCGTACATATTGATATTAATATTTTTAATATTAAAGCTGCAGTTTTCTCGAGAGCTCAGCAAACAACTTGACAACCGACCACAAAGGCTCTCCTGCTCCTGCTGCTCCTGCTGATGATGATGATGATGCGAGGATGTGCTGTATATGGGCCGGATTCTGGGGATGGCAGGACTTTGGGAACACACTGTGGGTCATCCATCGTGTCCTACAGTTTTTGCCCTTTTCCCCCACCGCCTCATGTCGTTTGCATTTAAATGTTTCAACATTTCCGTTTAATGTGGCTGCACTTCCGTGCAAATTTAATTAAAAACTGACATTTTCTTCGGATTCTTTGTGTGCGTTGGTTTTGGGGTAACTTCTCCACACACACACACATACGAATGCTCATACAATGCATTCAGAGAAATATAATGAATAATTTTATATGCCTACGTACATACGTATGTATGTGTGTGTGTTTGTGCGAGTATGTGTGGAACATGATGGAACAAGAACAACATCCGGGTGTGTGCACAAACAACAATACGGCGCAAAAAAGGACGAAAAAATAATAAAATATTTCGTAAATTCGAATGTAATATTTTTATTTAATTAACAACGCGATATGCAATGGTCGATTCTTCATTTTATTTTGTTGTTTTTTTGTTTCGGTGTGAGCTCAACTGTGAGGTGACGGGGGAAGCGAGGGTGAGTATTTGTGTCATATGCTCGCCGGGGAACAAAAAGAAATGTCAAAGGGGAGGATAGAGTAGAAAGTTGGTTATACCTCTTGGAGGTATCCGTTTGAACGGATAAACGATCTAAAAATTATGGCAAGATTACTGAACTGGAACTGTATCTATAGAATAGAATCCAGCAGAATTGAAATCACAATCAGATAATTCTTATAGCCTGAAATAACCATCAGTGTTGGACAATGATTCGCCATCCGTCAATTGTATGAACGCATACAATTTTTTCCAATTGAAGGGCACATTTAATTGTTCCATTTAAAATGAAGTTTTCATGTTTCAGTTAATTTTGATACTATATTTTATAAGCGAACACTTTGACATTTATTACACTTAAAATATCTTTAAGATCACATTCAAATGTTAGGTTCAGGAACGTCAAATGCAATTGTGTGGATGAGAAATACACTGCTATAGATTATTATTATTTGAAGTCGAGAAATCGGAGCTACACATACAAGTATCTAAGATTTCACTTGCTAAAACCTCCCTTACCAACTTAAATGACATTCGAAATATATTTACAGTCGATACAAGCCAGTTCTCTACAATTTCTTTTCGATGTCTGCAAACTCCAGAAGAATCGTGTGTATAATCCGATTTTTATTGACTTTTTTGGCCTAATTGGGGAGCACCACGCATGCCCCTCCAGAGCGATCAGATTCTTTATTTAGTATTCGGTATATTTACAGCATGATATTATTATTGGTATGGGTGGTTCTGCCCATTCCGGAAGGCGACTACCTTTTGGATATATTTTGGATTATTGATGACATCCGTCTGGCTTTTTTTTATGTCTATGGAAGCTCGACAAAAATCAAAAACTGATCGAAAACTGATTAAACTGAATTCCCCCTCGTATATTTTCGTGTTAATCCATCCATGCGATCGGGTTGTTCTTTTGGCTAGAATAATGATCCAATTTATTTGACACGCTTCGACATCCGTTAATTGCCTCAATTCACATTTCAATATGCGGAAATACGTATACTTTCGATGCTTTAATTGGCCAATTTTGAGTGGAGAATCAATGATCAGCAGTGAAAAGGGTATTAGTTTTCGTGAATCCATCGATAAGTGAAGATGGGCTTGAAGCAGCTCTGGCTTTTCCTCTTTGTGTTACTGTACTTTGTCAGTGAAGTATGTGTCGACTGCATAGCATATATTGAACCCAATATTAATCTGAATATCTCCAAGATCGCAACGAAATTTGAGTTTACGAACCTCAAATGCAGTTGCCCGATTAAGGAATTCTGTACCGTCGATTACTGCTATCTTAAGTCGGTGAATCGTACCTACAAATATGCGTCCATAAGAATTAACGTTTTCGCTACCGTTACGAATGTGGAGGTAAGTAAGAGTACACCCGAACCCCTTTTATGAATACTCGTATGTATTTTTGATGTATTTTAGGTAAATGGTGAAACGTTCAAGCGGATGAATGGATACAAGCCGTTCCTCTACAATGTGACAGTCGATGGCTGTAGATTTATGGAAAATCGTAATCGTAATCCCGTTGCCAATTACCTGTTTGGCTTTCTGGGGAAGTACCACAATATAAACCACACATGTCCCTACTCTGTAAGTGGCACTTCCCACCAGACCTTTCGAATTCTATTTTTAATAGTTCTTTTGTGTGCAGCACGACATTATTATCGACAAGTTGTCTATTGGCCATGTGAATGATCATATGATGGAGTTCCTGCCGTTTGCCATAGGCTCCTATCTTTTGCAGGCCAGTTTCAGTATTGATGGCATCCGTCGACTTGTCCTTCAGTTCTATGGAACCGTTTCCTAAATTGTATACTGCCTTTTTTTGTAACTCTATTAAAGCGCTGCAGAAAGAAAAAACTAGTGTATAAATATCTGTATATAGTAAAAGGAAAAATATAAATGTTACCTTGTGAAGATAATATAAATAAATTAACTAAAACTACGAATATTGTAGTTTATTTAGTGATATAGAAATATGCTCACTGGGAAGCAGCTGTTCCTTAGGGTTCTGATCCGAACAACCTGATTAAACCGAATCCAATGTGAAATATTCTACCAAAGTTTGAATAGAGGCCTAGCGAGAACTGCTGGGATTAGTAGCATGATGATCTAAGGCCAATCTATGTGTATTATACACGACTAATATTAGTATGCATCGCTTTAGCGATTATACAAATATTTAATTGCTCAATTCGGAACAACAATAAACAATAACCATCAATAAACTATGATATCCGCTACGCAGAACTTATTACAGCCCATTGCGATACTGTGTTTTGCACACAGCAAAGCTGAATAATATACATAATAATTGATCTAATAAATACTTGAGAAACCTTCTAGAACTAGTCCAAATTTGAGTTTACCAAAGGCAAATGGAAGTGTGTGGATGAGGAATAGTATAGAAGTACTAGTACTAGTACATATGTATATGTGTATGTAATATGTAATCCCTCCCAGAAAGGGCAATCAAAGTGCGATCTTGTCGGCAATAAAATATATTTCAATAAATCCCATCGCCCAGCACCGCCCATATGGGGCAGGGCATTGCCCGACGATTGGTTATTAAAAGTTGTTAATATTGTTGCCAAAAGAAGCTGGAGAACAGTTTTTTATATATTGTTATTATTACACTACACTACACTACACGAAGCCGCAAACAGCGGCAGGACCCACAGGACCCACAGGACGCACAGGAGCTGTGAACCCATTTAATTAAAATAAATGCCACAAAACGAAAAGTTCAGCCGCATCAATATCCTTTTCAGGAAGTATCGTACACACAACGATACGGTGTTGGGAGGCCTCAGCAGAAATCCCTCAAAAACAAAAAAAAAAATAAAAAAAAAGCCTCAAACAGAAATGAAAAAAAAAAAAAACTGTTGCCAGTGCCCGCGACTTGGTGGAAGGAACTTTTAAGCATTTTGCACAGAAAATTAAACAACGTCCGAACGGAGGAGAAATTTGCAAATTATAATTATTTCGTACCTGGACCCGGGACTAAAAAGGGCAAATTTGCCTTTCACTCCAAAGTACGCGATTTTGACGAGGCTCTTCTCCGGCTAACACACTTTGGACAAGCTGTAAATGGCAGCGAGCGGGGCGGGGGGTGGCAATCCGAGGTGGAAGCTGCGACTGAAGTTAGCCAAGGTGCTGCCGCACTCGAGGCAGAAGCCACAAGGCTGCTGGCACTGCCAGCGCAATCGCCATCGCCATCGCCAGCGGGGGGTGGCCATGCCACTGGGCAAACTTCAATTAAGGCTTAAAACTTTCAATTAAAAACTTTGTAGCGCGTGAGAAAAAAATCTATGCCCCGAGTGCAATAGGGAAATATAGGGAGGAGGGAGAAGGAGAAAGAGGAGAGGAAGGCTGCTGGCGCGCAAGCGGTGGAAAACTTTGGAAAACTTTGCTTATATTGATATGCATTTTAAGGGAATTAGGTTGAAGGATATTACGAGCTAAGGTGCGGCAAGGATTCACCTGGCTAATTAGGGGGACAGAAGGACACAAACATGGACATGCGACATGGTATGGGGAGCGATCTATCTGGGAAACAGGAGCTAAGAAGATGTTCGAAAGAGAGATTAAAGCTCAAGGACAAGTGCAAATCAGAGCTGGACGAAATGGGGAAAGGAGCTGGGAAAGGGAAAGGACGGAGGAAGTAACAGCGGAAGGAGTTCTAGAATCAGAAACGGGGACTGACTATTCTGAATGTCTCCAAGTCTCAGTTTCCCACCAAAAACAACTAAAATTTGATTATGGAAATGGTATCCCAGATTCCCAGCCAATTAAAGCAGCCCCTAAAAAGCCTGAAACCTCTGCATCTTTAAGACTCCAACGCCGGGCAGAGAGTCTGGCCCGGAACGAAGAAGTGTTCACCCTAGAAGTAACTTAAGCACAAAAGGAAAATCCCCCTGGCAGACTCCTGGCCATATGGCAAAACACTTTTTTATTTTTTTTTGCCGTCGACTCGAAAGTTTTGCTGCTTAAATTTTTCAGTTTCTTTTCGGGCGTCGCTTCGGTGCTGCGGCCTGCACAGCCGCCGAATGCATTTTTAATGAATTCCCGGAGAAAAGGTGAATGTAACGTGCAGCGAGAGAGGTGCAGGTGAAAACGAACGAAACACCCGCCGCCCACCCGTGGAAAATGCTGCAAAAATTGAAAAGCGCAACTTTGACTTTGCCTCTGACGCTGTGCTCCACTCTCTCGCTCTCTCTCTCTCACTCTACCCCACAACAAGAACAACTACAATGCTGGGAGGATAAACTCTTAATTGAATTAAACTTTTTAGCTGGAAAAGTGCGGAGACTACTGCGGGACAGGAAAGGAAAAGGTTAACCAATTTTTAGTTGCTTTTTATTAAAGCTAGTCTGCACGTGAAGATTTCTAGCCAAAAAAAAAAACAAAATAATGTTTTGTAATTTCCATTAAATCTCTGGAAATGTAATAGACTTAATGTCAATTAATTGTGAACAAATCCCTTAATTCCTAATCCATATTTTACCCCCTTTTTCCTTATAAACTCTGCCCCCGTCGCAGGACCAGGTAACATTTAATTGAATTTCGTTGAAAAAATTATATATTCACACAATTACCCCTAAAGCGGATTCATTTCGGGCGATTTCCGCTCTTTAAGTGCCATTTTCTGAAATTATTATAAATCATTTATTTGTACACTAAAAACAAGTGCAAAACACACACAGCAACGGCAACGGCAACGGCAACAGGAGAGCCGTGCCGTGAAAACAATAAGCCAACAATTGAAAATGCTGTCAGTCAAAGGCAAATAACACGAAAAACGGACAATAATTGCGCATTAAAATTGACGCCCGAATAGAAAATGTACGAAAATTAACTTCATTTCCGCTCTCGGGTTGGACGGTTGGACGGGTGTAGCGGGGCGGAGTGTCAGAAATAAACATAAATATGAAATGAATATGCCGTGAATTTTGTGAAAATTGAAAAGAGGTAAGCGACAGCACGGGAAAACCTGGGGAGTTTCCACCCACCACCACCCCCCCGCCCGTTACCTGTTGTTTCGCTGAATTATTACACAGAATTTCCATTTCCATTGGGCCCAAAAGTACGGGTATTCCCCCGCGGCCGAGTTGTTATTAATTTCAATTATATGCCGTTAGGGACCGGATGGTTGCCATTGGATGGAGGGAGTGGCAGCTGAAGCTGGGGGATTGACTGGGGCTTAGTTTGGTGACTTATTAGAGCTGACATATGTGAGCCATAAAAGGCAAAACAAACAAAATGGGTAGCTCCCAGCACCGCAGTGCGACAAAACCGCAAAAAAACAAATGGAAAACAAGTCAATTTTTATGGCATACTTCAGGGCGGACCTGAAATAGATGCCTGCAGAGCGGGGAGTGGGAAAATCACGGGAGCCTGGAGATGCTACGGCACAAATGTTGCCAAGAATTGTAATAAAAATGCTGTGGGTGTGGGGAAAGGCAGATGTGTGGCATTGCAAAAATATTTATGGTCTACAATATTATGATAAGCAAAACAGGAAAGAAAACGAAAAGAAAGGTGTGGGAATAGAAAATATCCATTGTTTGGGTTTCTTGATGTCTTTATTTAAATTTATGGAAAGTATAGAGTGATTTTTAGTAGGTTAAAGGATAGAGCCTACTTTATGCTTCCACTTTCCATTCAATGCCTAGTATTTCTGCTCAAAAACTATGCATCCCGACTCTACCCAAGCACAGGGTATCAGAAAAGGCAGCAGTCGGCCCTGTAGCATATTTCATTTTACAAATACCCCGGCATGATTTCAATATCAGTCTGGAATCAAGTCTGGGATTGAGTGGAATCCATTTGTGCCCAGAAAAAGCCACAAACCAATATCCAAAATAGTGACCATTTTCAAATATTTTCTACAAAAAGCAGTGCAGGAAAAACCAGGTAAGAATCGACTGGTGAAACGTTCTATAAGCCACCTTCTAGGAATACCAATTTCCATCCAGAATGGCGGATGATCGAAAGAGTTTCAATGCAACAACGGTGCAAGAGCATATCCGTAGGGCATCCGAGCGCAAACCTAAAGAAGCCACCGGAGTGCACGCTACAAAGAATAAGGAGAAACAGGAGCCCAAGGAGCGCAAGGAGCACACAGACGGAAAAGAAAGAATCATCGGCAAGAAAGAGTGTCCGCCGCGAAAGAGCACCGGTAAGGAGACCAAGGAGCAGAGGATCATCAAGAAGTTCCGGAACATTGACTTTTCGCGCAAGGACTCGGACCACAAGCTGACGGTGCAGACCCTGGAGTTTCCGGATGTCAACATCAAGCGGACGGATCTGCACAAGCGGGACGAGTGCGGCCAGAGTGTGGTGCAGAAGAGGGGACGGGATCTAGGCAGCTCCAGCAACTCCCACTTCCGGAACGGGGTGATGTCGGTCAAGATCCGGAAGAAAAGCTGCACATCGAGCACGTCCGCGGCGTCGAGCAGTCGGATCTCCTCGGAGCGGCCATCGGGCCGGGTGCGCGGCATGCCGGACTCGCAGGAGATGATCGACTCGCTGCACGAACCCTCCGAGCGTCTGCCGTACTTCAAGGGCGAGGCCTGGAAGAAGCCCTGCCCGGCCAGTTTTATCGCCGGAGCCCCACGCTCCCACATCGGACGCTGTCCGGATAACTACAATCAGCTGGCGAAGCTGCGTCCGTCGCGGCAGAAGTTCTTCCTCACGCAGGACCCTCGGGTGACCCACTGCCTGGTGAATCCCGTGGCACTGCGGCACAAGCCGCTGACCAAAGTGCAGGAGTACGAGGTGATCAGCAAGATGGTCAAGCACGGC